CCCCAAAACCCCAAAACCCCAAAACCCCAAAACCCCTGCAAACATAGTAAATAAAATTTCAGTATACACAATTACTTGATTAAAAAAACTTATTGTAAAGTCTAATAGATAGTATCAGAGTTAAAATACTCTTCTTATATTATTGTTGTATTAACTTCACATTACTGATGCTTTAATAAGTTATCTCACTGTTTCTCGTTTCCATCATCTTCGTCTACATTTTCCTCTCCATCTAAATCTTTTTCATCTTTTTCAACGTCTTTACTTAGTGGATCGACCGATATGGAATTTTATTTAGTAGATGGAGTTGCTAGTTAGTGATTATTTTTATCATAGTAGTAGCCTTTGAATAAATTTTAAACAGAATTTCTTCTAAGAAGTAACTGATTTTCCTTGACAGCTTCAGCATCTTTCCAATCGTTATTATTAACATGCTTAAGATCAAAGTTATCCTCAGTCGCACTTGGGACAAATGGAGCTTTAATTTTGCTGTCTAGCAAACTTTGCCATTAATAATCCTTAAGCCAAGCATGTGTTTTTACTTCATGATTGCCATTTAAGCCTAATCGATTTGAAGGCTTTCTTTGTAGACACTAAGAATTATGTTAGGTTGAAAATATAAGTTAGAATTCCTTACCTTATTAATGAAATCAGCAGCTTCTATTGACCATCCCTCAGGAATTTCATATCTTTTAATATGAACTTGTCTTGCTAGAATTTATTCTCTTATTTCTCTTCTGCTTTTCCCTATATAGGGTCTTCGTCCATTCATGCATTCATAAGCGATAACTCCGACTGCGAAATAATCAGCTGCTACTCCATGATTTTATCTACACATCACCTCAGGAGCCATGTAGCCTGGAGTACCAGAGGTCTCTTAGGCATTATCAGGACTCCAATACCTTGCAATACCAAAATCAGTAAGTCTTAAATATCCGTCTGCATCAAACACTAGGTTTTCAGGCTTGATATCTCTGTGAATAATACCACAACCATGCACAACTTCAAGTGCCTATATTAGGCATGCAATGAAAAACCTTGTCTCTTCCTCAGTAAATTTTCTTTGCCTGGCAATATGATAACGTAAGTCACCTCCAGTCAAGAGATCCATTACAAGATATAAATTCTCTCTGTCTTAAAAAGCGAAATGCATATTCACTAAAAACCTATATTATCATTATATTGACTTGATTTCTTACGGGCTCTTCATTTAGGATAGCAGTTTGAGTTCGTTCATAACTGATTATACACTTTTTTTAGCCATTACTCTTGCCTTTGACATTTCCTTCATTGCGAAAACTTCCTTTTCCTTTTTCTTTTCTACTCTCCATACTTTTCCAAACCCACCTCTGCCAATGGCATATTAGAATTGGAACTAGTTCTTAGAAATAGCTATTAAAATTGACTTATTAAGATCAGGGAATGAGAGAATTATATATAAACCTACCAGTTGTGGTGTCTTTTTCTCTTTCAGCTCTAAAATTACAGTTTCCCATTAAGTCTTAAAAAGTATTTATAAAAATATTAAGTAAAATATAATTTAATAAAATCATTTTATTCATTGTTTCATTCAGATAAGTAGAGATATTAATATCATCGTAATTGAAATCATAGTAAATTTGCCTTCTATTTCAAGCACTGGATAATCATTATTATCTTTTAAATTGAACCTAACTATGACGATATAGCAATGAAGGGGTTTTGGGGTTTTGGGGTTTTGGGGTTTTGGGG